TGAAAAATGCATTATTTCTTTGAAAATCTTCTTCTCTGCTCCTAGGCATTAAATAAACAAACAAAGCACATAGTTATGTTGAAAAAGACTGCCTCTTCCAAAATTGAGAATTTTATGGCCCCAGAGTCAGGGATTTTTGGGTTAGGACAGGGCTCTATTGATTATATAGTAAAATGCATTAATTCTTTGAAAATCTTCTTCTCTGCTCCTGTGTATTGAATAAACTAACTCAGTATATAGTTATGATAAACAAGAGTGCCTCTTCCAAAATTGTGAACTTCATGGCCCTAAGGTTAAGGGTTCTGGTGGAATGGTGGGGCTCTATTGACTATATATTGAAAATGCATTAATTCTTTGAAAATCCTTTTCTCTGCTCCTTGGTATTAAATAAACTAACTGAATACAAGGGTATAATGGGCAGGAGTGCCTCTTCCAAAATTGTAAATTTTATGCCCCAGGATCAGGGATTTTTGTGTTAGGGCAGGGCTCTATTGAGTATATAGTGAAAATGTATTAATTCTTTAAAAATTGTCTTCTCTGCTCCTGGGTACTAAACAAACTAACTAGTAAGTACATAGTTATGATGGACAAGAGTGCCTCTTCCAAAATTGTGAATTTCATGGCCCCAGGGTCAGGGGTTCTGGTGTACGGGTGGGGCTCTATTGGTTATATAGTGAAAATGCATTAATTCTTTGAAAATCTTCTTCTCTTCTCCTGTAAAAAAAAAAGAAAAAAAGGGGGGGGGGACCTTTGATATGAAATTTCTATTTGGAGACATGAATGAGAATGAAGACATTTCGAGATAGATCGTAACAGGATACAGTTAGTAAACATATGAAACTAAAATAGACAAATTAATGTTATATAGCATTGTGAAGACTGAAAATGTTAACTTAACTCATTTATCAGCTCTTCCCAAAGTTTTGAAATTAGCATTATTTATTCATCAATCAATGCCTTGTCACATTATAGTTTGATGCCAAATTGTGGGCGTGACATAATAACTGATTCTTCTTGCAAATACGCCAAAGCAACGTCAAATTCAAATCTGAATTTACAGCCAGTCCTATGGTACAAATATGACAGACCAAAGAAAAAAAGGAAAAAAAGAAGCAAATATAAAACAATGTTGACAAATTAACGTGACTTTCCGGGATGGTTAAGATGCCTTATCGCTTTTCGTGACGTGCGCAGAATGGACAGTCCAGCGAGGGTCACTATACGAGGTATATAAAACCATAAGTGATAGTGACCTCTATCTTCTTCAGATCGAGGTTACACTGAAAGGTACAATCATATATTACAAATATATTAACATTTATTCAATAAAAGTATAGGTAATTTTATTTTAGGATATATTGCATAATTTCATACATAATTGTCTTTTTTTTTCAATTGCTTATAATGTTCGCTTAAGGTATTGGTTTTAGAAATGGTGCAATTATATCAAATATACAAGGATATTTATTCAATCAAAGGAGAGCCAATGTAACTTTACTATATACTGTGCATACTGTAATTCAATACATACATGTATTTGTCTTTTTTTTAATAACTAATAATGTTCGATTAAGGAATTGATTTTACTAGTTTATAACTCAAATAATATAATGATATCAATATTTTGTTTATCTCTAACAAAAACAATGAAACATAGGCTTGGTCGGTAGAAAATACTACCTGTTTCTACTTTATACTCAAATGGACGAATTATTCTGTAATGAAAGACATTGAGATGTAAAAATGTAAAAAAAAAAAAAATATTTTTGCTCATAAAACTGATGACTGTCATCCGCAAATTTCCGATAAGTTTAATATTGGATTATAAAGATTTTTATTCGGGAAATATGGCTTCATAGATTTTTTTTTTATTTTACCAAGAAGCTTTACCAAACTATCATACTTAGCTTTAAATGCTCTCTTTAAATTAACAATTGCATCCGGCCTAAACCATTATATATTTAGCATTTTATTATAGTAATATGTTTATGTTATGGCTCCATTTGTGTTTCAATCATTTAACATTTGATGTCGCTGTTTCTTTTCAATAAGGCCACTATGTATTTTTGCCTTAAAGCTGTTGGATAAAAAAATGAACATTGCTGAAACTAAAAAATAAGTTTCCTTCACCTCTTCAAACCAAATATTGAACTTTCCGTGGATAAAAAATGTCATCGAAAAAAACTTGTAATTTTAGGGACTGTCTAAAATAAGTTCGTTTGGTATAGAAACATTTTTGAACAATTCTCTTCTTGAGATGTCAAGTACCACAAAAAACATTTAGTTATATCTCCTAAGCGGCTATTTAGGTAAAAAGATCTAAAAAAAATATCTACGAGGGTTGTTCGAAAAGTACATAAGCAATATTCTTAACCATCATACCATTTTCACAAGAGTAAAGATCAATGAATTTACTTAAACTTTTTGCAAGAGTTTAAACTATAATCTGCTCCTTCGTAGACAATCTTTTAAGTCCCATTTAAACTAAGAAACTGTCTGTTCTATTATATACGAACGAGTGGCTTTTTTTCAAATATATTTTCTGGTTTTTCTAGCATTTTCAGAGTTCTTTTGAGAAATATGAAATAGAAATATGTTTATTTTATGGCTCCATTTATGTGTCAATCCCAACGTTTTTATGGTACCTCATTGGGTTCTTCAACGAACTTTATATATACATTTATAATATTGATATTCTTCTATGAAATATTCACAAAGTATTACTATTGGAAAATCTAAAATACATAATAAAACTTTAATGGTCTTAATAAAACTTTTAATTTAAAAAATTCACTTTTTCTGATACCATAAAAGAGAAGACTTGACAACAAAGTTATAATTTTAGATTATCATTTTGGAATTTTCTGAATACAAAATCCAGTAATATTTTGCGTCTCATATTCTTTCTCTTTTACTTAAATAAATATCAACTTTATAAATTCCCCTTATCCAGGCATTCAAATTAATACTACATGTAGTTACCATTCACATTTCTCCTCATTCTGTTACCCCTTTGTTTTTATTTTATTATAAGCATATCGAATTTGAGGCCATTTTAACAGATTTACTAAAACAGAGGGGGCATCCCTGACTGTGCAATGAACAGGACGCAAGACATAGGATGATGTGTCATAAATGCTACCTGGGGCCCCTTTTTCCACGACGAATGATATTTAATCTACAAAGATGTTTGTAGTTTTCAAACATGAGTGATCAATGGGCGGGTCTTCACACACTAGAGGGATATGCGTGTCCAAGAAGATATTATATGTCTATTGTTATTATTTCACACATGTATATTCATTGTCCAATTCCATGACAGAACAACAAAGCATGCTAGTTTACTAGGTTTACATTTTATCACAGACACGTGGTTTAGGTTAATTTACCTGTTATAGTTTTCTACATTTCGAACTTTTTTAATGGTTAGCCAAGGCTTTTATACTTAATAATAAACATGAATTTTCAGCATTTACGGTTTTTATGACAGGAAATGCACATAAAACGTGTATTCACTGATACATTGTCAGCATATTTTTTTCTCAGCACAACCATTTATTCATACATTTCGTTGTCCAAATTGAGATTTTTCAAATGAGGGAAGATAAAAAATACAGAGCTATTGATGACTTTTATTTCATTTCATAGATGCATAACTGCAAAAGAACAACATTCTTTAGAATATAATACAAATTTAAAACCTATAATACTTTCTGTGTGCCATTAAGAACAGATATATTTCACATATTATACATGTACATGTATCTGTTTTTCGAGTAAATGAAATGAAAATCGACAGCTTAATCAGTTATCAATTTTGAATCATCGTTACTCTTTCCACTATACTGAGTCAAAGTACATCCAAATATGTGTTCAACAGTATACACAAACATAAGTAAACTACAGAATATTAACAGTCAGCATTTTGCAGCCTGTGGCTAATTTATAAAAACAAATACAGTCTAACGTTATGTTGCGTGTTCACTGAAATCTCCCATACAAGTTGTTAGACCTTTATTTTACACACTGTATTATCTAAATTAAAATACATACAAACAGTTATCATTCACAGCTATTCAAATATTCAACGAATTCGTTGATTACATTAAATGACCTAGATATTCTAGGTTGCTTTGAACCTGATAACGGTTCACTAAAACATTTCGTAACCCATTATGTGGATCCCTCTTGTGGATTAGCACCAACTTAGACAAATTAAGAGAATTTGCAATCAACTTCTTTGAAATCATGGAAGATACAATCTTTGCCCTCACAAGGGGCTCTCAAGACTTCTTTATGATATAATACTTCAATGTGAACACATCATTAGCTGTACACAGAGCCAACAACTTCATTTCAAAAAGTTCCCTCAATGCCTTCACATCAGCAATAGCATTATGAGCCTCGTAATCTTTTCCAATGAAAGTATTTACAATAGTGACTTGATTAAAATCTTTAACATAATATTTTCTGAAAGATTTCCTAGACACTTGTAGGGTATCTATAAAACCAGTGACAGTTCTAGCAAAACTGTCAAGTAATTTACATTTGACTAGCTGATTCATTAACACGGGTTGGTCAAAACATCGTATATTGTGCCCAACCAAAATAGGTTAGCTGTCAATAGTCTTAAAAAATCCAACAAACAGCAGAAGTCCTTCAAGGGGCTCTTTATGGTCTACCTTTTTGCCATTATGCTTCAGCACACCACCGACAAAAGTAAGTCCAGTTGCTGCAGATGAATAAAGACTAACTGGGGACTGCAGTGTCAAGTACATGTTGAACTCTCTCTCTCTCTCTCTCTCTCTCTCTCTCTCTCTCTCTCTCTCCACATACATCTGCAATCTGAACAATGTCTCATGTCCTGGCTGAAATAAATAAAAGAAATAATGAAACTCCCATAGTGTATACTTCTAAGTCAAGTGCAACACAATTCTCTTAACCAAAATATAATATTTATATTATCGATATTTTTACAAAGAAAAAACTAGTTCACAAACTTAAACCAGTAGTCTCTAGGTCAAATACCACGTAAAATTTTTTGGTTCTCGGTAGTTGATCTAATTTATTCAAAGGAAATGTCGTCAGAATCAACTTCATCACTCAAACCAATTTTGCTGCTGTATGTATCCGCTGCAATAGAAATGTTCGGAAAAAAATGATAGGTAAAAACAAACATCACACATATAAATTAAGCTTCAGATAAGTTGTATTTATCTGACTTACCTTAAAGAACAGATTGGAATCTCAATATGAGTGAAAAATTCTCGAGAGGGTCGATAAACAACATATTATCAATCAATAAAGAACAGATTGTGATGCATCTTTTGCAGACCTCTCTGACTTCAGCTCTAAACGTCTCCACTTTGTGCTCCGCTTTGCTTGTTGTAATCGCTTCAGCTTCAGTCTGCTTTGTAGGATCCTGGAATGCTTGAGGGTGTATCTTCCAGGAGACATTGTCAGTCTTTTATTCACCTGAGAAAAATAACAAATATGAAATTGATTTTTTTTTCTGGAAAAGAAAAAGAAGAATCAACAGATCCTTATCAATATGTAAAACATATAATAAATATTATGTTTTTTTTCAAGTAAAGAGATTATATATTTCATGGAGTAAAAAATCAAATGTGTCTGCATTAAAATGTATTAAAAATAAATTCAAACACTTTAAAGATATGATTCTCTAAGAACTTTCAAAACCCTTAAAAATTAATCATGCATTAAAAATGAAACTGGGTAAGTAAATAAACAAATGTAAACAAGACAAGAACAAGAACTACACAAACAAGTTTAGGCTATATATGGGTATTTTTTATGTTTCCTTTTAAATACTTTACTTTATAGATATTGCCTAAATTGCCATGTGTGAAAATCAAAAGAACATCCAGGAACATCTTTTTCATTTGTATACCTTTGTTATATAATTATACCCCTCATTTTTCTGACAGACAGTTGCAAATACTTTACTATGCAGACTATCTGAACCTCCATAAAACCTATGAACAGTTTAGTTAACATAGTCCAATTAATAAAAGGTATATGTTTTATCTATTTGCATGCTTTTTATCATTGCATAAATTTGAAAAAAAAACGTACATTCTTTTAGGCACTTTACTAGAGACCATGTGGTTAAAAATTTCTTTCACTTGAGTGGATCCCATCAACACCAACTCGCCCGGTCTGCATACTTCTCAAACAGCTTTTCTAGAGCTGGTCTCAGAGGTTTACTTGTTAGAGGTTTTCCATATGGCAATTTTTTTGGTTTGAAACCAGTTTGTTCACTCCTGCAACAGGTGACATACATGGAATGGTCTCCTTTTAAGATTAAATACGCTAATACAAATAAACAATTCATTCATTATCATGAACTTAGACCAATTTCTAAAAACATCTAAAAATATTGAAAAAGCAAAATTAGTTTTCTTGCCAACGTCAAACGTAAATATATGGTCATTCTTTTTGCAAGTAGTATTCTTACCATATAAATGAGGAACAATTTTCCCCAGATCATTGGCTAAAAAAAAGACCCAATAATTATCATGCATGACATATTTTTTTTTTCAATAATTCAAATTATTTTGACAAATACCAATGAAAGTAAATGTACTTTTTCTACTTCCTCTAATAGGCTGGTTCGACAACTTCCATCTGCCACTTTACTCAGTGTACTGCCAACTTCCTTTTTACTTTCCTTTAGACCTTCCTCCGAAATTCCTGGAATGTTTAGCACTGCTCAGAAGGCATTTAAATGAGACTCTTTGAAGCCACCACTGATCATTCCTAAAATATTACAAGCACAATTATCCGAGTTTATTTCAGAACTATAATACACTTACCTTCTGCTACTTTCGTATTAATATCCCAGGCTTTTCCTCCCATTTCTGTTAGATGTTTTTGTCTGTTGGGACATCATTAAGTAGCCTACACTCTTGGTATCTACACTGCACTTGGAGAATTTGAGCGAGTCGGAATCTAGTCTCTCCAACACAATGGGATTAATGCAAAGGTTGCCCACATCTCTTGCACTCCTTTAAATTAATAATTTTTACCTGTTGGCTCAACAATTTGACCTATGCAGAAAAGATGATCAATCATGTTTATATTGATTTCGTAGAGACAATATTTTAGAACTATCGTCACAATGCAACAGTTTTGAAAAAATGTCATTAAAAAACTGTTATAATGAGAAGACACAATACTGAGAAATTTCTACCAACATTTTGCAAAATACAAAGAAAGTAAAAATGATTTCAGCTCAAAAACAATTTACAATTCATTTACCTCATTAGAAAGATAAAATTTTACCCTAAAGAAATGGAATTTTCCTCTGGTCCATGATACTGAGCACAAAATAATATGTTTTAAAAGTGATCCGAAAGTCAATTAATAAGGAGGATCGTAGACAGTTAATCAGTGTGTACAATATAACCCCCTGTCAGACACGGGGTTTACTGGTGAACTCAGTGTCAACACATTAACATAGAAATGTTGTTTGATTTCACACCAAATCACAAAGAACCATCTCAGTTAAAGGGAACATTAAGGAGAAAATAAAGAAAACACTCTCCAGTTTATAGTACTATACAATTACATAGAGGCGTCTTAATGTTATACACAGGAGACCTCATAAACAAACTCAAAGTAGTTTTAATTCACTTGGTAGTTAGGAGTTAAAGGTACCACTATGGAGAAAGTATGTTTTGTTAAAATATCTCATGGTTCAGACCGTTCTTCAAATTTCATACAGGATCCAAAAGTTCAGACAAAAATTTAATTTTTCTCTGAGGATTTTAGTCACACTCTGATCAGAAGTAATTTTAACTTCATAGGCTGGTGCACTGACTGGAATTAAAGTAAACTGGTCACCAGCTCAGCAAACATGTAACTAAATTCAACAGTTAATTAGGACTTTAATTAAATTCCATAAAATCTCATTAGTTACAGCAACAGTGTTTCAGATTAAAATTCGGATTTTATGAAAACCACTTAGTCCCTTGTTCATGACAGCCATTAAAGATGTTTTAAATCAACTAATTGGAAAACGCTATACCCTTGTCTTCATTCAAATGACATGATAGGAATTCAATTTACATACCAGTAAGATATTTTACTTTTTAAAAAAAAATAATCTTCTTCAGAGGGATTCCTGAATTTAAAGGGGAACTCTGAATTTTCATTTTATTTTTAAACCAAAAGGTTCCTGACCATTTCCGATTGTAGAATTCATAAAAGAAACAAAGATAATGCTGATTTTAAAAGTAAAATTTAATTTACGTGCCTTGTATGTAAATTGATTCCCTATCAGAAAATCAGAAATTTAACCAGGCTTTATCCAAAGAAAAGTCTAAAACATGTAGAATAAGAAATTTTAAGATCATATGCATATAACTCATTCTTCAGTACTGAATTCAGATGTGTGACCAAAGGGCTATTTTTACAAATAATAAATTTCATAAATTTATGCATATTAATTGAGTCAGTAACTTTCCTGCTTCTGAAAAAAAATAATTGGAAGATAATCTGAAGTTTTAAAGAGGAGATAGGTGTCCAAATGTACAAGCATGTCTGAAATTTTATGTACGTAACTTGGTGTCCACAGTGACTATTTTTTAAATCAATAAGCTATTCTTTTCTGGTGAATCCTTTTTGAGGTATATAAAGTCTAGTTTGCATGTTTTATTGCATGACTTATTTCTGCCATATCCATTATAATCAGAAAATATATTCAAGATTACCAACGGGCACCGTTACTTACATAAGCACTAAACAAGTGCCATGTTACTAGAATTTAACAAGATGTAAAAATATGAAAATTATATAATCAATGAGGTATGATGAGATCCCGTTTAATGTTATATTAAAAGGAATTTATTTAAAAAGTCACAATTTTTATTTCTAGTTTCAAAAAAGGAGAAATTATGTAAGTACCATGGACACCTAACTCTGAATCATGCTTTAAAATAGAACAAAAAGAAAATAATAAAAAGACAATCGAACACTTGTTTTTAATACTTTTAATATACCATTTCAAAGTTTAATAATAGACTAGCTTTCAAGGAGAATAAATGCAGACAAATAAATTATCAGGTCTTCTATTTTGAGTCTTGTGGATCTTTGTGTCATTGTTACGAACATAATTCAGTCATTTCTTGTACATCTGAAAGAAAAAAAAATATATAAAACAAAATACACCATGATGTAATCAATACATATGATTTTGTATGGTCATAAGCTACATATTTTAGTTTCTGATTAATATCTACATGGTATAAAGACACAATGATGTGTGAAACATTCACTAAAATTGATACAATATGAATATACTTACTGAATCTATTATGTACGTAACTTTTTTTTACACATGGGCACACTGAGCATCGCCATGATTTCTAGCAGATAGCTGCGCCACCTTGCTAATTTGGTTTCCAATTTATAATTTTACCACTGCTACGGACTTCCTGAGCCAAACTTATGATTCATTGGGTGTCATTTTAGCAATCATACTGAAAGCTATTATGTTCGTAACGGTCAAGACACTAAACATTTTACAATCAGAGATTATTTTAAAATTACAAAAAGAACTGAGTTATGTTCATGAAGCATATTGTTAAAAATAATATATCACACATACTCATTATTTAAACACAGAAATTGAAATTGACAAATTATCTAATGGTTGTAGAGAAGTGTCAAAAGCTTCAATGCATATGGACACAATGCCTTATGAACATAAACCATATTTTTTAAAGTTCAGAAAAAAAATAATAAGGATACTTTTAGCATGTTGACAAAATAAATATATTATTTCATTTATATACTAAGACAATGTACACATATATCCTGCCAAATGATTTCATTTTTAAATAAAACAATATGTTTATGCCTATTCGAAAATTATATCACATTTTCTGTGATTGAAATCCCCTAAATGCATTAAGACAACAATGACCAATATTTTTTTTTATTTCTCAACACACATTCTTAAAAGTATTTAAACTATATCCTTACACAAATATCAAATCATATCAATATCAATATATCTGCTTACACATTATTTATTGGAAAATAAAGGAGAAAAAAAAATATATTCTAAAAATTCACCAGTATTGAAGAATGTTATATGTGAGCAGATATTTTTTAATGAAGAATTTGATTTCAAATTCATTGACTTTTTGTTAAAGACAGTGTCCACAGAGAAATCAATTTCCTGGAATATTGTCAATAACTTTTAAAATTTTTGTCTTCTTTAAATCCTGACACATGAAATAAGTAAAAAAAAAAGTATAGATCCTTTCATATAAAATCTCACTCCATTTGATAAGTGGCAGTACATGTAGTTTTAAAAATTTTCAGCCAGCCTCTTGAAACACATTCCTATTACATCAACTCACCATCAAAAGAAATTGATTCAAGATAAAAGTTCAAAATTGGCGAAGCCCGCTATGCATAAATTATCCCATCTTTCCGATATCGTTGATGTCTCTAGTATACTCTACTAACTAGACAGTGATTCCTTATATTTCCATTTCACTATATAATCAGTACAGCCCCACCCCAACACAAGAACCTCTAAACCTCAGGCCATAAAATTCACAATTTTGGTAGAGGCATTCTTGCTCATCATAACTATGCACACAGTTAATACCTAGGAGCAGAAAAGAAGATTTTCAAAGACATAATGCATTTTCACTATATAATCAAAAGAGTCCCACCCTTACACCAGAACTCCTGACCCTAGGGTCATAAAATCTATAATATTGGTAGAGGCATTCTCTTGCTCATCATAACTATGTACTTCGTTGGTTTATTTAATACCTAGGAGGAGAGAAGATTTTCAAAGAATTAATGCATTTTCACTATATAATCAATAGAGCCCCATCTTGAAACCAAAACCCCTGATCCCGGGGCCAGTACATCAAGTTGTGACGCACGTCGACGGACGAAAACAGACAGCAATAGGTCACCTGAGTGACTCTCATCAATATGTACATGTAACAGCATATGAAGTTTGATGAAAATATCTTAATTTCTTTGAATCTGAGCTTTGAACTGAGCTAACTGCAAAGTGTGACGGAAGGACAGAAGATGAACACTATCTGCCCGGCCATATTCATGACGGGACATAAAAACCATTCTTAGCAATCCACAATTTGATACCTATCCTATTATAATGCTACACTTTTGCTTAAGGACAAAACTAATTCCATAGCAGGAAATATTTTAAGCCAAAGTTCAAGTGTCGTTAATCCCAAGTCTGTATCAGAAAATTTCATCGAAAGTAACAGGAGTCCATAATACATGCAGGAAACGAAATTGATAACTGGAGTTATATTGGGTAAGTAGGAAATTTAACATTTTGACGGAATTTGATTCAGTAAGAAAGTTTTCATTTTTCTTAAGCAGAGTTAACTGAGATACGTCTACAATATTATATTCACTTGTCAAATTAAAATCGTCGGTGTCTGAGCTTGACCCCAATACCTATTGAGAGGAAGCTCCTTGTCTACCCACACTTTGCACCTCAGGTTAAATCTGTGACTTCACACTAGTACACATTAGCAGAAAGGAATATATGCCACTGAAAATGGACTCCATTAGAAGCTCACAAATGTAAGTTTTCATAACAAGAATTTATAACACGAAAAACAATTCCTAAATCATCTGAATCAGTGTAATTTGTTGACAGTAAAATTGGTTTTGACTTTTTACACCACTGAATTTAAAACATATAATATACATATCATAGACACGTTCAGTTATAAATTTTACTATTTAAAAGAAATGAATGATTTAGTTGAGTTGAAAAATAACTGATTCAGTTGAGGAAGTATTTTTTATTTTATTATTTATGAATTTCAAAATTATCAATTATGATTATCAAATTATAGATTTACAAAAGTGAAACATTAATTATACAAAAGTATAAATTCCACTTTAATCATTTTCAGTACTAAAGCCATACAACACATATCAGAGTCAGTGTTTGTGGGACTGTGTCGTAAAGTGGGAACCTCACAACTGGTGGCCATGAGGAGAGATGCGGTGGACATCAGTGAGATGGTGATAAATCAACAGAAAACAAGTGATGAGATCAGTAGGATGGTGAGTGGAAGTCACAGAGAAGGACTCAGACTGACAGGATCAGATATAGACATAATGTTCTGGAAACATGATCGCCGTGTGATCTGGGACTTATCTCAGTCTCAGTATTACAACACACACAGACAAACACTGATCCTCTGTGACTGTTCTGATAGTCCACCAGGATTTACTTTGTTATATTTACTGTCACCAAGCGTGAATAGAAAAATCCAGATAGTATGTGTTAGAATGAATAACGGATATTATGTATCTAGTTCTAAACACAGACATATCGTTTTATCTGAGTTATCACTACCTTATAACCCCACTCCACATAAATACAGACAGACCCTTTTATCTGAGTCATTTCCTTTTAACATCACTCCACATGGACCCTGTGCCAATGGAACATATGGATCACTAGAATTTGATCTTGCCCTCTGTTACGTCAGTGACTTTTGGCCTCCATCTGCCTCCCCATGGATAGACAGATGTCACTCATGGCCCCAGTCTCATGTTGTTGATGATATAGTGAAAAATGGATGTCATTTTGTAGCAATTGGACATAAGCTAGGAAATCATGAAGATCATGAATGGAGAATTTCTTTTTCCCTAGCAGAACAAAAACTTGTGTATGTAATGAATCACTGTCAATTCTTAACTTACGCCTTACTCAAATTGTTCCTAACAGAAATAATTAACAATGGAGTAGGTGAAGATGATAAATTACTGTGTTCCTATCACATGAAGACGGCAGCTTTCTGGGGGATTCAACAAAATGCAATACCTCAATGGTGTCCACAGAATCTCCTGGCGTGTTTCTGGGTCTGTTTTAAACTCATCCTCAAATGGGTGTATGAGGGAGTCTGTCCAAACTTTTTCATTCCAGGCAACAATATGTTTCTGAGTAAAATTCATGGTGTCAAACAACAGCAATTATTTAGAAGACTGTCAGAGTTGTATGAAAAGGGTTTAGCATTCCTGCTACGTAGTCCCTCCATTAGATCTTGTATCTTAGATGTCCTCTATAACCCCAGAAACTCCATCTGTACAGATGATCATACTCTGATTTCTGAGTATGAGTTTGATAGAGATTTATTTGAAGAAACACTACCTCATTACACAATACAAGGACAATTGGACATACAAAGCTGCATTATACGTCTACACACAATAGAACAGATGATAGGTTCACCCCTCCTGACACAGTATCAAGTCATTATGCTACAGAACATGACCGCTAGTGTCCTACATAGCACTGCTTTTGTGTTACACATGGAAACTTACACATCTGACAACAAACTGAGTTATAGAGCTGACAAAATGTCCTGTCACATGCTGAAATTAGCAGCAAAGTCTGGCTGTATTACAGAAATGCTGTACATAGCCATGTATTATTACAAGACACTTAGATACAAAGAAGCTTTATCTATAATAGAGATAACCAAGGTCAAGTTAGCACAGCCTTATGTGATGTATGCGTATAATGTATATAGAGAGATATATACTGAGGCTGTAGGGGGACAGTCCTGGTCTACAAAGATGAGACAGGCTCTAGCAATGGATATCATACTTTGCAATAGAATCCATTACATCAGTGAACTGATACCAGAACAACAGTCTTCTCTACAGAGACAAATGTCTGTATTATTCATCCCGCCCTTCGTACTGTTATACATGCTAGAGATTTTGTGCTACAGACATGTAGACACAATGCGAGCACAAACATCTCTAGATGAACTACAGACCCTTGTTCACTATGATCAGGGACGGCTTATACCTTTATATCTCAGAGACATATCGTGGCAGATTCTGGGGATTTGTCAACAGGTGACAGGGAACCTCCAGGCTGCTCTATACTCATACCAACAATCTCTCAGACAAAGTCCAAACAACAAAATACAAACAGCTACAGAAATGAGAATACAGAGTTTGTCAATGGATTCCCTTAATTAATTAAATGTCAGTTGATATTTGTAGGAGTTCACCTGATAGAGATTTATCATTTACATATCCTCTTCTGATTTCATATTTTCTTTTCTGTCTGTTTTATTACATGTATTATAAAGCTAATCATCAGCCTATAATAAAATGAAAGAGGCACTAGTGCTTATTATAATTACAGTCAAACCTGTATTTAGCAGTCACCTACAGGATCCTTAAATATGTGACCTTTAAAGAGAGGTGACCTTTGGATAGAGGTTCATCTTTTTAAAGGAATTTATCATACATAAAAATATGCCAGTTTAATTGTGTTGATATTATGTATTTAACTAGAAATATACAAGGAAGTTAGGTATTGGACATGAGTGATCTCACTTTTAATTTTATTAAATCCGCATGACTTTTGTGGATGAATTCAAACAAAATTAAATTAATCCTAGAAAATAAATAAAATATTTGTATACTGTATCATACAAAATTAAGCATTATCCTTTATCATAAATAAAATTTTTTATTGTGTAAGGAATCAATATCAAGGTATGCAATATCCTCAATCAAATATTATTTTATCAAACTTGATTTGTAAAATTTTTTTTTATATTTTATGTTTAGACTAGTAACGTGATGCGGCAGTCACGCGACTTTAGCACATTGACTTGAAGTGTAAGGAATATTTTTTGCTGGTCAGCGGCATGTAATATTGATACAATTAAATTGTTTTTAAGATTTCAAGGATGGCACTTTTCAGTTAAAATCAATCAAATAAATTATTTTTGATCTAAACTTTGATTTGTAAAATTAATATTAATAAAATAGCGAAGAAGACATAAAATTCTTCTGTAAATAATATTTTATTTAATTAGATATATTTTTTTTGTTGTAAAAGCATTTACATGAATTGTAGTATAATAAACAGACAAGTCACTGTCAGGCGTACATGTGTATGTACTCTCAGTTGATCAAAGAAATGTGCCAGGTGTCATAAATCACTATGCTCTCTTTTTTAAATGAAACATTTTTACCCTAAGCTTCTTGCATTAGAGCAGACATTCATAGCTTTAAGTTTCTTCTTCAACAGGGGTTTGTTAAAATTGTAAATGTGACAATGAAACTTTATATGAAATTGTGACTGTGGCTCAAAAATTTCGAAATTGTAGACTTCTGATGCCCTGTGTCCACTTTCTATTAATTGTAGGATCACGTTTTTAGTATCATCTGACATTTCATTGCCATGGTTTCCCATTTGGTAAACAAGGAAGTAGAGTAATAACAACATCAAATTTACTCAAGAAAATCCGGAAAATTTAATGTCAGTAAGAGGTACTTCCCTTTGTTCATAAAAAATCAATACAACTTTGTTCATCTTTCTACCAATCTAACTTTGAAGTTTTGAAGCGGCTACGATATTCACAATTTTTGTTTCCATTCACCCATTGATGCTGTATACCAAATTTGGTTGAAATTTGTTGATTAGTTACAAATTAAGCTTAGAATGTTCAAAAGTTTACTAACAATGTACGACAGACGACGACTGACAAATACAGATAGCAATGGGTCACTTGACTAAACTCAGGTGACCAAAAAGTGTGCAATTTACTGTGCGAGATTTCTTGCCAACAGTTTAAGAGAGTTTCAATTTTTAATTTTTGTAAATCATTTAGTTTTTATCCCTCTACTTCCAGGCACATTTTTCACCTAATTTGTATATTTTATCCTCCTTTCAACCTTTAATCATGTTAATAGTCGCCTCTATAGGCGATAAACTAGCTTGATTTGAATTTTCTAAGGGATTGCAGAAAATTCTACTTCAATGAAGTTTATCGCTTGTAGAGACGACTAAAAAGGCTTGGGAGGTGTAGAAAACATATCGATTTATTTAAAATGTGTCGAATTATGCAGGGAAAGGAAGAAGATAGATTAAGCAGTGCTGGAGATTACTGAAATTCTCCCAAACAGTGCGCAAAAAATCGTGCGCACCGAAGTTTGCATTACGGGATCTGTAACCTAATGGTCAAAGACAACTATATAAAACCATAACGCTACAGTTCTGCAGCTAGTGATAAAGATGTATGTCTAATACTGGATTCATTTAATATTGTGGACTAAAGCTTGGCTAAAATTACAATTTCATTGATAAGTTAATTCACAGGGATGAAATCTTCATACTATATACAGAACTAATACAAGTTAAAAATGAAGAGTGAAATTTTAAGAACTGGGGAATCATTAAATTTCATGGAGTCCAGTTTTGTTTTTTGGGGATTTAATTTCCAGGATTAATTCACTTGTATCTACAAAAGGGCAAAAGGAAAGATAACTTTAAAAAGCCAAAGCCAGCTTATCTTTTTGTGGTCAAGAGGTACCTACAAATTCTACGAATATTGAGCGACCATTAAATCTAATCATTCCAAAGTATATTGTGATACATAAACAACATAAACAACATACCCTTTGCGTTACTGAGGACTTTCTCGCGTTCGTCGAGATGTGAGAATTCTAGCCCTGTGACAGGAAGTGATCGGATGCTGTCCGTCTCGCCGTCCTCTGAGTCCGTCTGCTGGCCCTGAGTCTGACGAGATTTCCGGGGAGATCGCAGTCGTGGGCCGTGTCTCTCCAAACCTTCCGAGATTTTCTGTTTAATTACAGTAGATAAAACTCGGATGTAAAACAATAAATGATCATCCATTACTGAACTTTTAGACATGTAGTATATATTTTAAAAAATTTCCAAGAAATTATTGAAGATTCAATTAACAACACAATACTCAGTTTTCTGTTAAGTTTATGAAGCCTGCTTTATTAAACCGCCCTCCCCTTTTACCTTCAGAAACTGTTTATTATCTCACTCAGTTTTTTGTTGAGTTGATGAAGCCCCCCCCCCTTTATCCGCCCATCTACCCCCCCCCCCCCCGTTCTTACCTTCAGTGATTGTTCCTCACTCAGTTTTGTTGTTGAGTTCACGAAGCATCCATTTATTACCCCCCCCCCATTATTACCCCTCCCCCTTACCTTCAGTGTTTATACTCCTAAATCAGTTTTTTGTTGAGTTTATGAATCCCTTCTTTATTACCCCCCCCCTCCCCGCCCCCTTTATAATCCCCCCCTTACCATCAGTAACCGTTTGTGTTCCTCACTCAGTTTTTTGTTGAGTTTATGAAGAAGGTTAGACTTGGCCATCTCGGAACCTGTGAATCAAAGTGAAAGTGAAAGTAACAATTTTATATACTCCACATGTTACCAGCTTCTGTATTTTACTACCATAATAAAATGTTAATTGAAAAAAAGATATTAAGTTTGTGACATTTCAAAATTAAACAAGAGGCCTAGGGGCCACAGCGCTCACCTGAGCTTGAATTTACTCCAACCCCCAACCCCCTCCAGCCGTTCATCATTTGAACAAACTAGAATCTACACTACCTGAGGATGATTCCATATAAATATCACTAATCATAGCTTTGAAGTACTTGAAAAGAAGATTTTAAAAGGTTTCCCTATATATTCTTATGTAAAACTTGGGTCGGCCATTTTGGCCCCACCATAGCCCAGGGGGTATTTGAACAAACGAATATACACTACCTGAGGATGATTCCACATGAATTTCATTTTTCCTGGCCCAGTGGTTCTTGAGAAGATTTTTAAAGATTTTTCCGATATATTCCTATGTAAAACTTGGGTCGGCCATTTTGGCCCCACCCTAGCCCCGGGGGGTCATGATTTGAACAAACTTGAATCTGCACTACCTGAGGATGATTCCACATAAGTTTCATCTTTCCTGGCCCAGTGGTACTGAAGGAGAAGATTTTTAAAGATTTTTCCTATATTCCTATGTAAAACTTGGGTCGGCCATTTTGGCCCCACCCTTGTCCCGGGGGTCATGATTTGAACAAACTTGAATCTACACTACCTGAGGATGCTTCCACATGAGTTACATGTTTCCTGGCCCAGCGGTTCTGGAGAAGAAGATTTTTTAAAAATGCCATTAATTTTAACAAATTCATGATTATCTCCCCTTGGAAAAGGGCGTGCTCCTTCATTTGAACAAACTTCAATTCCCTTCACACAAGGATACTTTGTGCCAAGTTTGGTTGAAATTGGCCCAGTGGTTCTTGAGGAGAAGATGAAAATGTGAAAAGTTAACGACGACGACAACGAAAACAACAAGGACGACAGACGACGGACAAATTTTGATCAGAAAAGCTCACTTGAGCCTTCGGCTCAGGTGAGCTAAAAATTCTTATAATTGATAAAGAAAAATAATTCAAAAGATCACGCTCTTTTAATACTGTTAAAAATAAAATTTAAGAAGAAAATTAGAATAATGAAGCCGTAGAAACAGAGATAAGTTAAAAATAGAACTGAGACATTAAAGCAGCAAAAAGCTCAGAAAAGACTTTTTATGTACTTTTAAATCCTAATTAACAAAATTTGTGAATGTGAATATATCGGTGCATTTTAGAATCAGATTATATGCTTAGCGGCTAAGTTTTGAATTTACTTTGCTAAAAATAAATAAATAAATAAAGTGCAGAAATTTTAATTTTTAAAATCTTTACATATTGTATACATGTATAGCACTTGGTTATTTGTGCATTTTTTTATGAGAATATATTTATAACACTATAACAAGAATACATGCAGTTATAATCTGACCCCTAGCCCTGGGCAGTACATAAAACAATCATACGAGGCTGTAATTATCCAGCAATCTTAACGTGTGTGAATGAAATATAGTAACTTGAAGACTACCAAGAAAAAAAATGGTTTCTGTGAATTCAAAATCACACTTTTTTTCATTGTCTCACAGAGTAAATTTTCTTACATCTTATATTAAAAGACTATCGTTTTCTAAATAAAAATCATTGATAAATCTTGACATTTTGATCATGAACACACACATTAATTAGCATGTATTGATTAGTTAAGTCATTTGTACAGTCGTTAGTCTGAGAAACAAACACACAGTAGCTGTGGCCTGATTGATTAAAATGTGGAGTGATTTCACAGAGATTTTCATGCAATATTGATAAAGCCTTCTGTTTGCCTGACACGAATTCTGAATAGTCCACACACACAAAAATAACACATCGGGGGGATTTATACAGGTCATCTGGTTTATTGTATGTAATGGTTTGGGCCGTGAATATCACCCTGGGTAGGTCAGTCAGTAGAGCACCTGTCAGTCGGTAGAACACCTATCAGCCAGTAGAGCACCTTTCAGTCGGTAGAGCACCTTTCAGTCGGTAGAACACCTGTCAGTCAGTTGAGCACCTGTCAGTCGGTAGAGCACTTGACAGTCGGTAAAGCACCTATCAGCCGGTAGAGCACCTTTCAGTCGGTAGAGCACCTGACAGTCGGTAGAACACCTATCAGTCGGTAGAGCACCTTTCAGTCGGTAGATCACCTGACAGTCGGTAGAGCACCTGTCAGTTGGTAGAGCACCTTTCAGTCAGTAGAGCACCTGTCAGTCAGTAGAGCACCTGTCAGTCAGTAGAGCACCTGTCAGTCGGTAGAGCACCTGTCAGTCAGTAGAGCACCTGTCAGTCGGTAGAGCACCTGGAGCACCTGTCAGTCAGATAGAGCATGTCAGTCAGTCCTGTCAGTCGGTAGAATCCTGTCAAAGCACCTTTTTTTCTTAATTGGCTTGATAGAGCACCTGTCAGTTTGGTAGAGCACCTGTCAGAGTTTCATTTGATCATCCGGTAGAGCACCTGTCAGTCAGTAGAGCACCTGTCAGTCGGTAGAGCACCTGACAAGTGATGCATGGGTCCTGGATTCAATTCCTGTCCAATCAAACATTTTTTTTCTCTTAATTGACTTGATAAACAGATGTATTTGGTTATTTTTTTTATTTTATGAGTTTCATTTGATCATCTTGGTACAGGCTAATTTATGATAAATTCACAATGAAAAATTGGCTTCCTTATAAAAAGAAAAAAAACGGTTTGTGAATTGTGAATTTTAAGAAATTCAAAGAAAAAATATGAAAAGAAAAGAAGATAAAAGATCTCTTGTTCTATAAAGCTGTGTAAAAAGATTTTTTATTAATGTACATCTACAGACAAAACAGTCAACAAGCAGTAAAAATAATTTCTGATTAAATTAAAAAAAATGTCTTATAACTAAATAACTAAACATATTCAAAGCAATTATATCAGTATATAAAGATCTGTAGGCTCATAGACTGTTCAAAGCTTAATACTTGCATCTAAAACTATTCATTTAGGTGTTAGTTCCATATTGTTTTAGAAAATGATGTGAAATGTATGTAAAATAGTTTTGTTTCCTTTTTTTCTTTTTAAATATTTTTAAACTACATGGTTTAGTAAAACACTGACTGACAAAAGCCACACTTCTAATTTAATTGTAACAACATTGCAACAAGTAAGCCCTCTTCTTTGTCATTTTATTTGTATCATCGTTATGTCTAGTTGACTATTGAAAAGTCATGAAATCTGCTTTAAAAACACTTCTTTTTCTACCCCTCAACTAGTCTTGGAGATAACTATTATAATTATATTGCCTTGAACTTTGAACTTCTCCGATTCCATTTTTAGTCTTGAACTTTGAACTTCTCCGTTTCTATTTTTAGTCTTGAACTTTGAACTTCTCTGTTTCTGTTTTTGGTCTTGAACTTTGAACTTCTCCGATTCCATTTTTAGTCTCCACTACACTGCGGGACAGGTACAAAAGCAGGTTACTATGGTGACAGTTATACATTAGCTACTCACCGTGGTGACACATATACACGTGTGTGTGAACTTGCCCGTGGGACTATCTATTTCAATAGTCTGGACAATTAGTATAAAAACCATGCAAATCAATACAGACAACTCCAATTATTGTAACATCTGTTTTAGTGATGTTTTGGTTATTGTAATATTTCTTATGATTGTAATCTTCATATTGTTGCTTTCTTTAATACACCCCCCTTTTTAATTCAATTTTTAGATGTAAGCTATTTCTTATTTCTATTCCTAAAGAATAACTGAATAATCATGATAATGGAAACACTCAATGAATAGGGCTGTCTGGTTGTAATTAATTGATATCATATTGTAAGTATCTACTGAGTGAATAAAGAGAAGTGGACTTATATGATACACCTGTTGTATTCCCTTTTTTCTTTGCATTCGATCTTAGGGATGTAACATTCATGCAATAATTATTATGTAATATATGCAAAGTCATTCTGTTCATGCATTTGAATACACAATTTAATCATAAACTGTGATTTCTAAAAGCTTTATGTGATCTTAAAGTTAAATATTTTATGCATAAAAATGCAAACACAGAATAAATCAAAAGCAAATATATAAAAACATTTTTGTATGTGCATTTCATTCAATCTAAATTTTACATGCTTTAGTTGTGTTTGACTTCTAAAATGTGTATTCGACATGAAACAAAACGAGTTCCCTCTATTTTGAAATAATTTAAGTCGTATTTAAAAAAAAAAAGTATTTTTAATATCAATTCATTAAGATTCTGATAAAACAAAGCAAAACTCTTAAACAGATTGTTTTACCATTTCATCTTTTAGCTATTTTCCCACATAAATAGACCAATGGAGAGTAAGACAGAGCTAATATCTCCAGTCTGAAATTTCTTCCAAATGTATCCCCCACCCCTCATAATTATAATTAGAATCAATAATGTCTGAAGGATCAGTCAATTCAAAGATTAATTCTAGATCCCTAATGTAATTCACTCAATTCAAAAAATTGTCCCAATGTATTCCACCTTTTAAGTATCAATCAAGGAATCAGTCAGTTTAGATCTTCTGTCACCCTCAAGCAATTCACTGAACTTTTACTTCAACAAAAGTCCCCATAAAAAGACATCACTCATACACCCAGACACCAAATCATATAAATCATACAGTTCTATCTCCTTACTTAGTGAGTCCTCCATTAGGGAATCATTGAGTTCATCCTCATGCTCACGCTCCAGTTCTGACATCCGACTTGTCCATTCCGACTCGACTCTGCTCATCTCCTCAGAGTGCTCCTTGTTCAGTGAATCCCTTAGTTCATGTAGAGCCGCTAGGTGGCGTTGTTCCTGTTCTGAGGTCATGACCTCCATCTGACCTTGATAGATCTGTTCCAAGGTCAGTCTCATGGCCTGTAACTGCAGGTTAAACTCTTCCTGTAAAACAGATGTTATGATGTCAAGCTTAGGTAATCTTCTTAAGGTCAAGACAGATTTCAACTTTTCTGGTCAATTTCAATAGCATATTTTCATGATCATTTTTTCAAGGTCTAGGCCCATTTTTAACTTTTATGTTCTTTCTTATTCCTTGAACTAGTTACTGTTTAGACTGGTTGACTGTACTACCTGGTTCTTTGTCTGTTGATCTGTCAGTCTCTGGCTGATCATCTCCCCCACTCCCTGTACTTAGTGTATGTGACTATATTACCTGGTACTTTGTTTGTTGGTCTGTCAGTGTCTGGTTGATCTTCTCCCCCACCCCCTGTACTTAGTGTATGTGACTATATTTCCTGGTACTTTGTTTGTTGGTCTGTCAGTTTCCAGCTGATCATTTCCCCCACCCCCTGTAATTAGTGTATGTGACTATATTACCTGGTACTTTGTCTGCTGGTCTGTCAGTTTCTGGCTGATCATATCCCCCACCCCCTGCACTTAGTTTATGAGACCATAGTACCTGGTACTTTGTCTGTTGGTCTGTCAGTTTCTGGCTGAAACCCCCTGGTTAGTGTATGTGAATATTACCTGGTACTTTGTCTGTTGGTCTGTCAGTTTCTGGCCCCCCCAAATGTACTTTGTGTATGTGACTACACTACCTGGTACTTTGTCTGTTGGTCTGTCAGTTTCTGGCTGATCATTTCCCCCACCCCCTTTACTTAGAGTATGTGTCTATACTACCTGGTACTTTGTCTGTTGGTCTGTCAGTTTCTAGCTGATCTGTTCCCCCACCCCCTGTACTTTGTGTATGTGACTATACTACCTGGTTTCTGTCTGTTGGTCTGTCATTTCTGGAATTTTCTGTACCCCTTGTCTCTTAGGTATGTGACTATACTACCTGGTACTTTGTCTGTTGGTCTGTCAGTTTCTGGCTGATCTGTTCCCCCACCCCTTGTACTTAGTGTATGTGACTATACTACCTGGTACTTTGTCTGTTGGTCTGTCAGTTTCTGGCTGATCATTTCCCCCACCCCCTGTACTTAGTGTATGTGTCTATACTACCTGGTACTTAGAGTATGTGTCTATACTACCTGGTACTTAGTGTACGTGTCTATACTACCTGTTTCTTTGTCTGTTGGTCTGTTAGTTTCTTGCTGATCATCTCCCTCACCCCCTGTACTTATTGTTTGTGTCTGTATTACCTGGTACTTTGTCTGTTGGTCTGTCAGTCTCTGGCTGATCATCTCTCCCACACCTTGTAAGATCCTCTCCAACTGTTGTTGATGTTCTTGATCAAGGCCCTCCTTAAATGACATCATCTCCTTTTTCCAACAACAAAGTCATTATATAGTAAATTAAACTGGTTCAAAATTAAATATTCCTCAAGAACGTAACACAAAAAAATTCAAAGATATCGCAGGTTTTTTTTTATAACATCAACAGTTCGTTTTCCAAAGATGTAAAAGTGATGGCATCAGTTTCAGATAAGCTTATGGAAATATACTGTAGGTTCATTTTAATTCACAAGGGTAAGTAAAATTTTGTTGGTTCGTGGGGACATCATTCATAGGTAACTCATATAAACAGAAAGTTCAATTAAGAAATATGTTGACGAAATAAATATTCACAGGGATGCAAATTAGTGGATAAGCCTAGTGACCTATGTAATCCATGAACATTGATGATAATCCACAGAACCTGACAAGACCTTCTGTCTGTATTACTTACCTGATGGTAGATATCTCGGATGCTCTGCTCAGTCATCTCGTCCTGTTTCTGTCTGTATTACTTACTTGATGGTAGATATCTCGGATGCTCTGTTCAGTCATTTCGTCCTGTTTCTGTCTGTATTACTCACTTGATGGTAGATATCTCAGATGGTGCTAGTCATTGCTCATCATTTTGGTACCGTGTCTGTCTGTATTACTTACCTGATGGTAGATATCTCGGATGCTTTGCTCAGTCATCTCGTCCTGTTTCTGTCTGTGTTACTTACCTGATGGTAGATATCTCGGATGCTTTGCTCAGTCATCTCGCCCTGTTTCTGTCTGTATTACTCACTTGATCGTAGATATCTCAGATGGTCTAGAGTGCTCAGTCATTTCACCCTTAGTCTGTCTGTATTACTCACTTATTGGTAGATATCTCGTATGCTTTGCTCAGTCCTCTCGCCCTGTTTCTGTCTGTATTACTCTCCATGATGATAGATATCTCGGATGCTCTGCTCAGTCATCTCGCCCTGTGTTTGTCTAGCCAGTTCTTCTCGAAGTGAGTCAAGTTGAGATTCATACTCAGATCTTAGGCCCTCCAACTGTGAAAAGAAAGAGAGAGTTGTAGATTATTCATATTAAATTAAGTATGTCCCGCTAAAGTTATTTTAGGGAACTACTTGGTATAAGTCATCTAGTATAATACCACACTTGATCTGCACATAATGATTTTATCAGTTACAATTCATAAATAATAATTATCTCACCAATTCAGCAACCAAAAAATTGAACTTTTCACCATCTCAATGAAATTTTAAGGATTTTAAGGAATTTTCATGTTTTTCTTAAATTCCCATCATTAAAAATACATTGTACATATATTCCACCCAGAAACATCATGAATTCTGACCTTGGGGCCATAAAACTTACACCAGCTCACTTTTGATCGGTGTCTCACTTTTTCTAAAGGAATATACAGTGGAAAAGTGAGACTAAGATCAAAAGTGAGTTTGTCTTAGTATTATGGCCCCCCAGACTGACAAATTCATTGGAACACAGATGAAGCATTCAGATTATAGATGCCCCACTGTTCTTTAATTAATCCCCAATAAAATTACTCAAAACATGTTCAAACCATACGTTAAATTTTAAATCTGAGAAATATCTACAAGTTCAAATAAAAAAAAACAGCCATTTACATGTACATCCTTTCTATTGACATTTATGGGTTGAAGGAATGATTAAACTCTATTTGTAAATTACTTGTCTGTGGAATTACGCAACACAGTTAAGGTGCGCAATGGAAATATCGACCAAATTTTGTATTTAAAAATGTGTCGTAATCGGGATGGCGATTATTTTTAGTACATTATTTATATCGGATAATTGTAATTATGATTAATAACTACATATCGAGGACGATTATATTTTATATTTAGACTAGTCATGTGATGCGGCAGTCACGCGATTTTAGCACATTGACTTGAAGCATTGATGTTACATATAAACATTACTAGTGCAAAGGCATAACCAAGTTAAATTTCCAAGTTTAATATATCAATATTTTCAACACGCCGTGTAGTTTCTAAAAAGTGCTGCGATCCTATCTAAATTCTGCAATTTCATTGTTAAAATTTTACTTGTATGACCGAATGCTATATTTTTTGCTGGTGAGGGGCTTGAAATATTGATATAATTAAATTGTTTTTAAGATTTCATCAGGATCGCAGCACTTTTCAGATACATTAATAGTTCTATAGTTGAAATGTAAAAGCTTACTTTGATCCATAGAGTGTATGCCCTTGCACTAGATCGATTTATGAAGACCCCCCACATTACCCTCCGATGTACTTGCATACAAATATGCGGCAGTGTCATACGTAATGTACAGAAAACATATTAATAAAATAGTGAAGAAGACATTGAATTCAAGTTATTGACCCATAGAATATCTGTAAATGATATTTTATTTAATTAGAGAATACATATTTTGTTGAGAAAATATTACTTGATCTGTCTCTCACTGCATACAAACTACGTCACGTTGTAAGAAATGACGTCATATTGACAAGTGTATTGCGATCAGTGACTTATTTATAACTTGTAATGTGGGATTTAACTAACGACAAAACAACACGCTGTAGTAAGTTTTTATGTAGTTTGATGATTTCTTACTGGTTAAATTAGCAGATAAACTCATTTTGTGGTATTTTAAAGAAATGTTGTATGACGTATATTGTGAATGATGTCATAGTCAAGTTTTCCCGTACAAATTAGGCTCCGCCTCCTTTTGTAACCTTCACTGTGCTGCGGATTAAACTCTATTTGTAAATTACTTGTCTGTGGGTTTTATTATTTAACCATTTACTAAGTGATTTATTTGAATTGCACCCATTTTACATGAGGGTAAATTCAAGTTACTTAAATTACAAGCAGCTTAACATTTCACTGAGGTCAAAGACATTTACAGTTAGGGTCAATGAAAGTTTTTAAAGTTATCATTTTAAAAGTTCTAACCCAACATGCTCTATAAGGTACAGAGGAGCCTCATTTATCCGGACACTTTGGTTCCTAGTTAATTTGTCAGGATATGTGAAGCGTCCGGATACCTGAATTACCAGTTTAATAAGACAAATTAACGTTTAAAGAATTCTGTTCTGATGAAAAATGGTCCAGATAGTGAAGCATCCGGATATCTGAAGGTCCACTAGCAGTTTCTAAAATAAGGCAAGCTATTGACAAACAAGTTTATAAAACAAGGATCTCAACAATCCTATTTTTGCTCTGTACCTCATTTGTATTGTTTAAGATAATTTTTTTTAGATTGTTTGTGCATAGGATGAGAATTAAAGATATTGATACATGTCTACAATAGCAATGTACATGAGACTTCTAAAGATGTGATTTATGCCTCTGGTTAAATAACATGTTCAAATACTGAAAGACAAATATAATCATTTGTACAGTGAAAACTGTCTAATCCGACACCTGAATAATCCAACTCACTGTGATGACCGACGTTAAATTTCTTTCCCATTTTACTATTTTCCATGATTTTAACACTGAGCAATCCAACACCCTGTCTATTCCGACACAAAATTGTCTCCCACCGCATGCCAGATTAGACAGTTTCACTGTACATGCAAAAGGTGTACAGTCAAACCTTCGTATCTTGAACTCAATGAGACTCAGAAAAAACCTCCCGAGATATCTGAGGATTTGAAGTATCCCCGGTAAAAACCTTATAGAATATTAAGTGTTTGGGACTTCATATTCTCTTTGACATAACCATGGTATTTGAGATAGATGTTTAAGAAACTGAAGTTCCACTGTATTTAGAGATAACAACAGATTTTGTGATGTGTTTACAAATATTACTTCTACAATCTTATCATATGATACCTTCTTTTTGGACATTTCAATCAGAAATCCATCCGGTTTCCAACTAAGGACCAACCCATCCCTCTCTTCCAATCCAACAAGCTGCATAGAGTCTATCTTAAACATGGCTACTGACTCTGATCAGTCACAATAAGTCTTTAAAATCAAACTTTTCTCATAGAGTCAATCTTAAACATGGCTGCTCTCTTATTACCATTGGACTTAAATTCTTATTCCAGTCCCAATAAGTCATTGAAATCAAATGCTTTTCACAGAGTCAATCTTAAATATGACTGCTCTCCCAGTCACAATAAGTCAATAAAATCTTCTCATATTAGAAGCTCATGCATAACTCAATCCATGAGAGTTAGACTTTTTGACAATTTAAGTACATACTCAACTCAAACTCAGTGTTTTCTTTTAACTGCATTTCAACTAAACATGTGTATTAAGATAATTTGATGGTGTGAATCAATTTAATTGAACTAAATAATTTCAAGTAAAAACTAGATTTAACAAGTCTGCATCACGTTCAAGTGAATTTCAAGTAAATTAGTTGCAAGTCAACTCAATTTCAACTTCATTTAAAGCTGTGTTCACTGTAGCATTATATCTTGCTGAATTTAATTCTAATTTTACTTAAATTTCTACTTTATCATAATTTACTAATCTAATAACTGTCCTCTATATACAAGAATTCTGGGTGACCTTTGTCTTCAAATTTGGTTGCAGTCTCCAGAATATCAAATGCTAAAAGGAAATATGTCCTTTCTTTAAATCCCCAAGTCTCTCTATAAATGTCCAATTCCTCATACTCTACTACAAACACAAAATCTGAGGTCCTTTAAATAAAATCAACATTTGCAATATAGATCTGTGCATGTCTTTTTTTGCGTATCAAATTCCACTTCATAAAACCAACATTTGTTGGGAATAATCTGCATGTATAGGCTTTAAGTATTCAGTTCCACTTTAAATATGATTTAAATTTTAATACACTGGAGGGCGTATGTCACACAGATCCTTTCCCTTTCTTATGAATTCAGTGAATTGATAATAATTAAGAACAGCTGCATAAATCCACATTGCAAGGCCTGCATGTTTAATCTTGTACCAAGTTTCTATTAAATCGTTCAAAGCTTTTTTATTTCTATCATTTCATAGTGCACTTTCACAAGTATGGAATTTCAAAACTGCGAGGGATAAAAATTTTAAAATGACAAGTCAGTACTGACTGAATATATCTTCACTATGATCAACATAATTGAGTACATCACTTTCAATAATTCAAGAAATTGTCTAACAATTTATCACAGTGACTTTAAAACATCCACTGATTACAGAAATATCACTAGAATTCATCCATAGAATTATAACATCTTTAAATTCTTCCAATAATTTATCTCTGAAATCTATAGCAAAAACTTAATGTCATTATTGTTATATGGCATATCCATATCAATTATCACTTATGATACATTGTAACCACAAAATTTCTGCACATTAATTAACACATGATTAATTAAAAAAAAATTGTTCCAAATTTTTACAATATTTCAACCATAAGAAGTACCCAAAAACACAATCACTGCTGAACTTCAAAACAACTCGGTGTTTTAAAATTTTCAGATCGGAATCTCAATAATAAATTTTAATTAACACTCTCTTCAGTTAAATCCATACAGA